TTTTCGGTCTATGTTTATCCTGATGGATCTCGCTTAGCAACTGGAGGTCTTGGTGCGTGCTTCGGTCTAAAATATCAATAATATTAGAGGTTGATGACTTTTCTTCAGATAACAAATTAAGAATTTCTGCAAGATAAGCATATAACTCTTTGTTGATAATTTCTTGTATTTAAGAACTGATATCAAAAAGTTCTTCATACTGGGATCTAGAAAGAGATTGACATGCCCAAGGTAAATTGGTATGTTGAATTCTATTTTGTAATGCTATATTAAAAGCAACAAAGCTAGTAACAATATAATAGACTACTGTATTAGACCCTCTATCAAGATAGTTCTTCTGCCCTTTTTGCTTATTGTCAAATACAAGAAATAAAAGGCTTTCTGGCAATAAGTCTTCATAATTTGATAATTCTTCAAGCTATTTATGAAATCAATAATAACTTCCAGAACTTGTAATATAGTTATCAATATCTATAGTCATTTTTGATCATGAAATTGAATATTTAATAGCTAAAGCAGCAAGTTGAATTTCAGATACATATTTTCCATATCATGCTTTATATATTGAATCAATTGTGATAGCAGTTTTAAAAAGTTTCTTCTGGCTCAAAACATCACTATCTCGATTATTCTAAACTAGAATTTCAATAAATTTGACAGCAACCTATTTAATATTGATAAATATAAAAATAGCTATAAATATTCTCTTATAAAAATATTAATTAAATGATTAAAATAACTTGATAATAATTATTTAAAAAAGAAACAAAATTAATATTAACCTAATTGCACTTATTAAGCCATTCACGTGGGCTATATGTTTTAAGATTTTCTAAAGAAAATCTATCTTTATCTCAAATTAGTTTCTTTAAATCTTCAAATAATGATATACGTTCTGCTTTTGCTATTTCAACAATTGCATTAATATACTTTTGTTGATTATCAAATCGAGAATTCTACTATGCAACAAGTATATCATTGATTTTAAGCTGTTCCTCATACAAATTATGAACTGTAATCACTTCATCATAAACTCTTAATAGCTGATTTTTTAATTCAGCTATTTCGCTTATTTGATGATCTAAAAAATTACAGGTTATAATCATATTATCATAAGCTTTTTGTATCAATTCACTTATTTTTTTTTTTGATCTTCTAAAAATTGAAACATTTGCTGCTTCTCTATTTGAGCAACCTCTAAAAGTCTTCTAGCTTGATTAAGCTCAATCATTAAATCATTATAGCTCATAGTTATATTATCTTGATTAGTATAACTCATAGCTATATTATCTTGATTAGTATTAAGTTGAGTTTCTTCTTGATCTAAACTTGCAAGATTATAATAATCATTAGCAACAATTTGATTGTAGTGTGTTTGACAAATAATATAAGTAGCTAAAGAAGAAAGTCAATTAGTAAGTTCTGGCATATTGAATTGAAGATGCCTAAGTCATCTAATCACTGTTAGAGTATCAGTATTTTGTATTCTTCGTGGATCTACATTACAAGATTTCAAACCAATTGTATTATATATTTCAACTAAATCTGCAAAAATACATTGAGAAGTTTCTTCTGATTATATTTGAGAAATTAACACTATAAAAAAATATTTAAAATAAAAATCTAATTAGTAAATTATGTTTTTACAGTTTAGTTAGTATAAAACAGATTTTAAACTTCAAGTCTTATTTACTTTTTTGAAAAATGCTAATTAAAGTAGATTATTGTAGATTAATTAAACTAGTTGTTTTCTACAATCTACTTGTATATCGATTCATAGGTTTCTAATAATAATTAAGAGTATAAAAAATTTCTGAAAAGTGTTATCAAAAAAGTGCATGTGAGTCAATCAAAGCTAAGAATTAATATGCAGATTATTCTAGAATCTGATTTTCTAATTCAGTATATTCTCTGACTAAATTATTGTGAATTAATTAAACTATTTGTTTTTACTATTAACTTAGATATTGATTTGTAGGTTTTAAATAATTAGGAATATAAAAAAATTTCTAAAAAGTGCTATTATTCTAGAACCCAATTTTTTAATTTATATAATCCAAAATAAAATATAACAATTATTTAAATTATAATAAATAAAGAGCAAGATTTAATAACAATAAATTATTTGGAATTTTGATTAATTTAACTAAGTTCAAACATGAGAACAATTTTTATTTATTTATTCAAAAATTATTAACAAGATTTAGAATTTTAAAACAAAAAGCAACTCCTACTTATTTTGAAATAAATTATCGCATTTTGCAAAAAGATATGACTTTTGCAGATCACAATGTCACGTGAAAATCAGAGATTCTGTAGATTTTAAGAATCTTATTGATTTTAAATAAATATAAATAAAACTGATCGAAAATATATAGAGTTCTGATCTATTATCCGTTTATCTATTGAATATTCAGATTTGAATTTATTTGGATATCTATTTTACTATTGATATCTGAATAATTATTTAAATATTTGTTAGATTATCCAGATACCAATAGTAAATAGATATTTAGATAAACTCAGATATGGATAAATAGGTGACAGATTTATCTGGATTGGATCTCTAAAAATATAAATTAATAGACAATTTAGAATCGCAAAAATTTTTCACTTTCATCACAACAAAAAATATACTATTAAAATACCAGGATTATGCAAGCAACCAGTTTGATGATCAAAAAGTTTATTGTTATATAAAAAGAATGACAAAGCATTTAAGCATCACAAAAATCATAGGTCATATCTTTTACAAAGTGCTATAATTCTGGAAACCCCTAATAGTAAAGATTATAAATAGTGCTTGACAAAATCGAATTTTGATTTCGGTCAATCAAAATCTATTTTTAGCATAGTATTAGAATAGATTTTGATTATCTGAAATCAAAATTTTGATTTTGCCAAGTACTACAAATGCATATCATACCTTAACTAATTTATAAAATTCTTTGCCTATATATTGTTTGGTTTAAGTTTTAATCATTCTGGATAATATAGTGATACCGCAAAAATTTGGCGATCTCGTGATTATCAGGCCAATCGAATCAAAACTTAAGCTCAAAAATACCCAAGATAGATTAATATAACTCATTTATTATTAAATTTTGATTTTGGATATTTTTTTAAGCTTAAATTTTGGTCTGTTTGGCCTGATTATCACGGGACCACCAAATTTTTGCGCCATCACTATATTATCTAATAATTCCTCCAAGTCAGTGATTGATTTATTATACCTTTTCATCACATAGTTAATTTCTTCTCAACTATTGTATTATATGATTCAATTTCTAGCAATCTAGTTAAATCTTTGAATGCTTCATCATATTTGCCCATAATAAAATATCAATAACTTAATTCATCTGTATTATTCGGTTCTTTTTTCAAAGATTTTGCTAAATAATCGATTGAACTAACAAGCATATTTTTATATTTACCTATAATAAAATAACCTTTTTTTCACTATTCTAATATTAAATTTCACTCAAAACTAAAGAATTAAATAAAAAAAAATTAAAATACATATCATACTTACAACCTCTTAACTAATTTATAAGCCTTTTATGCTTATATATCGTTTGGTTTAATTTTCCAAGTCAGTGATTGATTCATTATACCTTTTTATCATATAATTAATTTCTCTTCGACTATTGTATTAGATAGTTCAATTTCTAGCAATCTAGTTAAATTTTCAATGCTTCATTATAATTGCTTATAACAAAATATAATTTGTCTCGGTAGCTTAATTCGAATTTTGTTAAATCATCAATTAAACTAACAAGCATATTTTCATATTCACCTATAATAAAATAAGCCTTTTTTTGGTATTCTAATATTAATACATTCTTTGATTTTTATTAATATCTTCATTAACTATCGCAACCAATATGACAAATTCCTTAATATTTCCCAGCCGTTAAGATATGACATTTTTGTCAAGAAAAGTAGCTAAGCTGCATGATGCCAAAATCAATGTGCAATAAATTAATTTCTTTTTAATTGAAAATAGAACAATAAATTGTTCTGATCAATATAGAATTTAATAAATACAGAAATAATAGAATGCGAACCATTTGAAGACCTAAAGCAGTAAAGTACACAGTAAACGCAGTGCACTAAGATCGTCTGCTTTATTTATGTCTATTATACTGGTAGTACTCCACAATTTTATTTTATTATCTATATGAGTTGATCAGACGTTTAGCTTGTTTGTTTAGAGTATTAAAAAAAAATGAAGCTAAAAAAGTATTGATTAAAAAAACAAAAATCTAATCGATTGGCATCAATTAATTAATGATATTTTAGACCGAAGCACGCACCAAGACCTCCAGTTGCTAAGCGAGATCCATCAGGATAAACATAGACCGAAAA